ATGACATACAGTATTTATTCTATGACTAGTTACTGGTGTGCATTTTTAGAACTCCTCCTTGGAATTATGTTCTATTTCCTGTCTCTCTTAGACAATCAAACACATTTTGTTTTTGAACTTTTCTTATCCACCAAAATTCAATAACATAGTGGGAACACAGGTTTGGTATTTTAACATTTAGCACCAGGTTATCAGACTGGACCAAGTGAGTTTTGGATAGTTCTGTAAGAATTATTTGCCCCAAATTCAGAGCCCACAGATGTGTCCCTTTTTGAGCACTGTTACTGGAATATGCATGCGGCCTACTAAGCTGCTTATCTTGAAACAAACATTCATCTGAAGTTATAAATGTATTCAGTCACCAAATGATTACTGAACACTAACCACAAAGTTTCAGCCACTGGGAGACATTAATAAACAAAGCAGACAAAAGCCTCTTTTCCTACTGAGCTTCTGTTCTAGTGGAAGGAGACAGACCAAAAAAAGAAGCAATCAGAAAATTATAAATTATGGTTGAAGATTAGATAAGAGCAAGGTAAGTGACACATGGAGAGCTGAAAGGGTGTTCCAGTTTTAAATAACTGTTGTCTGGTTGGGCCTTACAAAGAGGGTGACATTTGAGCAGACTTGAAAGGGGAGAGGTAAATAATAGAGATGCTAAGGAAAAACATTTAAACAGAAGGGATAGGTAGTGCAAAGATCCTGAGGCAGAAATGTGCAAGGCTGAGGAACAAGACGACATCTAGTGATTAGTTGATAGAGTTGGAGGACATGAAGTTAAAGAGGTAGGGAGGTAGACTACAGGTCATAAGAACCTTGCAGCTATCGTAATTACTTTAGCTTTAACACTGAGTGAGGAGAGCCAAAGCAGAGAAGTGAACGACCTGACTTACGTTTTATAAGAATTTCTCTGACTGCTCTGATGTAAATAGACCCTAGGAGAGGAAGTGTGAAAGTTTTGCCAAGTTTGCTATGTTTTAGAAAAAAAAAAATAGCATTTCATAGTTACATCCCTTCAATTTTGCCAAAGAAAGTAGAGCAAAATAAAGCTTTTAAAAATAATTCCAGAACTTATCTTTCCTCATTACCTTTCCTTATCAAAGCAAATTTCTTTCTCTCAAGTACAGTTTCTTTTAGCCCTGGGTTAGAGGGTCCCTACAGTACTTTCAGGACATGGCCAAATTATTTGTCTTGTCCTGTGTATCAGTCAGGATCTTCTTGGCCACAAGTAACAGAATACCTGACCCTAAAAGGCTTAAGCAACAGGCCATTTAGCGTTTCCTGTGAGCAGCACTCTGGAGATAGCAGTCGGAGGAGGTTAACTTAGCCTCTCAGTGACTTCTGGGCTCTTGGGTTTCTTTTCTGTATTTTCCTTGGCTTACAGGCTGTGCCAAAACAAACCCAAACATGTCTTGTTCACTGGAAGACGGCAGAGATAAGAAGGAATCCTTCCTTATGGATAGGAAGGGTAAAACCCTTCCCTTGAAAGTACTCCTCTCCCATTATGCACTGACCAGAATTAGGTCACATGCTCAGCCCCTCCCTGACAGAGGGACAGAGCATTTCTCAAAGGTATAATCTGTGGGACCTTTGGGTGGGGGAGGCGCCCAAGACCCTTTCAAAGGGAATATGCCAGGTCAAAACTATTTTCACTATAAAACTGTTATTTGCCTTGCTCACTCTCATTCTCTCATGAGTGCATAATAGTTTTTCAGAGGTTACCAGAAATTGCACCACAGACTGAATGCAGAACCAAGTATGAAAATCTGAATGCCTTCTATTAAGCCAGACTTTTAAATTAATGCAATTCTTTTTGAGGCAGGCTAAAATTAGGGAAAGTTCGGGACTCGTAGAAAAATACTGCTTTAACCACACTCTGGCTCAGGGACCGCCCTCACCTGGCCTGGGGACACCCATGCCCCGCCCCCCTCACTGATCATTGGATGGGAATCACCTGGTTCTGCCCTTCCTAAGGGTTAGGGTAGGTTTTAAAAGCAGCTGGAAAGGAGAAGCACGCTCTCCCTACCTCCAGGTTTCACCTGGGCCCCACCATGCCCTCCTTTGTATTTCCCTTTCCTAACTTTTAATAAACTCTTTTTACATCCGTGTGTCCTGCCATGGATTCTTCTACACGGGACAAAGAATTTTGGAAGTCTTCTGATCACAGATTCCACTGTCAGCCGACAACACTTTTACTAGTTTTTTTTTTTTTTTTTTTGTACTGGGGTTTGAACTTGGGGCTTTGGTGCTTGCTAGGCAGTTGCTCTACCATTTGAACCCTCTTTTTACTATTTTCTTGGCAATACACTTGTTTTTCATTAAAATGTGCAACTTATGTTGACACTAATTTTTAATTATTTTTTAAAAATATTTTGAAGTCAGTTTCAATTTCTAGTAGGATCAATATCAAGAAGACATAAAACATAAAAGTTTTTGGGGGCTCTATAATTTTTGCGTAGAAAGGGGACTGAGATTGACAGGTTGAAAAGCTCTGACTTACTCAGGCAGAACTGATTTATCCCTGGAGTTGCTGGGGCAGGGGGAGCAGTTAAGGTCAAACTTTCCAGAGTTCACCTAAGCCTGACCCAAACCTTCTTAAAATATGACTGTCAGTGACAAAGTCACAACAAGGCGTGTCAGAACTTGCATATTGAACCTATTGATCTTTGTTGTGGGTGAGCTATGTCAGAAACCTAGATGGACATGCCTGTCTTTCCACAATGTCAGAATTTACTGAATAACAAATTCACAAGCAACATCATTTCACAGGCACTAATGTGCTAAGTATTACGGATGTCACTCAGCAGCCTAAGTCATTGGCAACACAGGTTCTTCTTAGTTACTAATATTAACTCTCAGCTCACACATTACACTTCACATAACAACATATAGGCATTGCTAAGAAAGGGTTAAAGAGGTTGCAGAGTTCAGAGAGGCCTTGCTGAAGGCAAAAGCAGAGAGCTGATAAGGATGCAAAGAGAATTCCTGCAGGTGCTTAGATAACATATTAACATACCTAATCCGGTGCTAGAGCTATGAGGCCTGGAGGAGTCAAAATACAGAGCTTGTGCAAGGCACAGTACCTGTTCAAGGTGCAGAGTTGATTCCAGGGTTACTGGTTCCAGACAGATGGACCTAGGCGGCCAGGTCAAGCTAGAGAGATCTGAGCTGAGCTGAAGCCCCGGGGACAGTTGGAAGTTTGTCACCTATCAGTCCCTTCATGTATGCACCAGAGTCTGGTGACGAGCCAGGTATGTGCCCCTGTACCCCAGTATTAGGTGTCCCTCTTTTTATATAATCCAGGTGAGAGGGTTGCATTATTCTTGGGTGTGCTGTGATAAGTTCATGGGACTGGTTTTTCTGATATGGTTTGATATGCCCACGCATCGATGTGTTCCTGATTCAGTTTGGCAAGTTCATAGGTGGAAATGTTTTATTTGCATAAATAAGTTATCAGATTGTCCCATGGGTTTGTGCTGGACAGATGGTGGTTGCTAAGCAAAATGTAGTCACTCTGCCTCAGTATTTGCGCTCAAAATGGAGAGTAAACTGTTTTGTAAAATGGAGTCATTCCCAGCAGAACACAACTGAAAGCTACTGCTTTATACTACCTGGAGTAACTTTGGAGTAGGGCACTGCCCGATCTCCAGCCTTCTAGCTAAAAATGGAGTGAGAGCTTTCTTTTGCCAGGAGATAAAATGGTCAAAATGAAGCCTTAAGTGCTATTTCAGAAAACGCCTGACACTGAATTGTTTCTAGAGATGGAAAGAGGTGCAGTATTTGAGGGAGTGGACAATTTCAAAAACCTTCTTGGGAGTAGGGGGAGCCCTCACTCGTCCATTTGAAGTCTGATTTAGGCAGCAAGGTAATTCTTGGTAGTGACTGATTTCTTCCTAGCTCCAGCCAGGTGCCAAAAGCCTCCTTACAACCATGCGTCATTGGAAGAAGAGTCTCCTGGACTGGAGTGTCAATTAAGTTGGGAGGGTGTGCACGTGTCTTGTATTTCTTGTTCTCTTCTGACACTGTTTTTGGTTTCAAAGTGCCTTCGGGAGCCTCTTTAAAATGCCAAACCTGTTTTTCTTCCTTGAGTAAACCCTTGGCGACCCCTACCCCCATCCAAAATAACATCTTTGTGTTTATAACGCAACTCACATGCCTGCGATTTCTCCAGCTGATGTCTTTTCTTTCCCCGGGGAATTTTAGGCTGATGTGAGATCGGGGAGGAGCCGGCCTGACCTTAGCCATGAGCAGCAGTCATACATTTTCTTAACACATATTTTGCTGAGTGGGTGTGGGACGCCTTCGCGTCAACTTCTACTTCACGAGCGCCATTTCTTATAGTCTTCCTCTTGCTGCTATCTTCTCTCCTAGATCCATTTCTTGGCCCTGATTTTACAGGTAACTTTCTACCAGATGGCTTGTTTTGGATGCACAATTCCCTAGGCTTCAGCCTCCCTCCCCTTGGGTCTGACCTAATTCTGGGAGCCGGCTGTTGTTTGGTCTATTTCTCCACTTTGACCAACGCACGTGGCTCTTCTGGGATCTTCACTTGTGCTCCTAGGCTGGGTGCTGGGGTTGAACCGGGAAACCGGGGTTGCACTGTAAAACATTCAGGACCCTCTACCTTCCCCCGTCCCCGAGCCCGGGGGCCCCAAAAGGCCAACGTGAGGAGGGGCGGGAAGGCGGCCGGATGAACCCCAGGGCGTAACAGGTGCCGCTGCAGCAGCTGCGCCCACAGCACGCCCGAGTCTCCAGGGATAAGGATTTCTTTTTCTTCGGGTTTTTTGGAGGTGAAGAGGCGGCTCCACGCCCCCACCCAACCAATGCAGGCCGCGGTTGTTCGTCGCCTAGCAACTGCTGCAGCCAATGGGCGGCGGCCGGGCCTGCGGCGCCGGCGCGCGGGGGCGGGGTGGGAACCTCGGAACCTGCCGAGGCCCAGAGGCGGTCGCAAGGGGCGGAGCGCAGCGTGCCGGGGGCGGGGAGGGCGGGAGCCTGCGATTGAGGAGGGGCGGCCGGCGCGAGCCGCTGCTTCCCGCCGCGCGCCTGTGCGGGCCCGCGGGGCTGCGGGAGCCGCGCTAGGACGCCGCGAGCGGTGACTCCCCGCCGCTCCCGGGGGCCGTGACGGTGAGCCGCGCGCCCCGCGGGAGGGGATTGTGACGCGTGGGGCCCGGGAGGGACACGGGGCGGCCGGGGCTGGGTTGAGCAGACTGGCAGCGGGCGGGCCTGGAGGTGAGCGCAGGCACCTGGCTGTGTGCCCGGCTTCGCGGCGAGAGGCGCAGCGCGGCGGTTGGGGCCGTTGGCTGTGCGGGCGAGCGTTGGCTCCCGCCGCGCCGGAGCGGGAGGTGGAAGGTAGGGGCTGGCCGGGGCCGCCCCGGTTGTCACTGGCCGCACTGCGCCCGCCGCGGGGTTGCAGCCTCCCGGGATGGAGCGCGGACGGGCGGCCAGCGCGGGGACGCGGCGGGGGAAGGGTGGCCGGCTTGGGGCTACAGTGAGCTCCGTAGGCGGCAAGGCACGCGGGGTTCGGTGGTTTGTCAGGGCCCGCCGCAAGAGGCAGTCGTTAAAATAAGTTATGGAGTGGCCCGTGGCCGCTGCAGGGGACAGCACCCGATAGTGGTCTGGTTAAGAGTCATCTAGGAGACAGGCGTGTGTGAGGAGTTTGGGTATGGGGGGGGTGGGGGGGGCTCGACTTTCCCCAGGAAAGGAATTGTGAGGTCCTTGCCCCCCTTGGAACCGGTGCTAATCCGCACAGTTATGTAAGTCACTTGGGCCCAGCAAATAGAATCTGCTAAAGTAAGTTGCTCACAACACAGATAAAGAGTTTTTGTTGTTGTTGTTAACATCACAATTTAGGTCCATAGTTGTGAGTGCCAAACTCAATACTAGTGACGCTTATGCAGTGGGTAAGAGAACTGAGATTTCCCTCTCCTCGACCAAATAGTGGGTTGAGCTTCTTAGACTTTGAAATTGCTGGGCTCCCGGGTTCAGATAAGAGTCTGGGTCTGGAGTTGGCTGAGAATGGTGGGCGCCCTGGATCCCTTCCTGTCTCAGGGGAGACTGGAGGTGGAAGAAAATCCTGGCAGCCTTACAATTTGATTCTGAAGTCGAGAGGTCTGTATTACTTAACACATTTTCTTGACCGAATGAAATTTAGAAAGAGACACGCAGAAAAGAAATGTGTTTAAAGTTTAGATCAAGCTGTCAAAATACAGAATTTAGAGGTAGGTTTATGAACTCTAGTCCACCCCACAAAACTTAAGCCATCAAATCTTATTCTTGAGCTATCAGTGGATAGTGAATAACACTTAGGGTTATTCATTCATACTAAACAATTAAGAAAAGTTAATATTCTAATTTGACAAGTTGTTCTGCCTGCTGTCACTGAGTTTCTCAAACAAAATGGTTCTTTGAGAAAAGGATTTGGAACAGTTAAAACCAAGGCTCTTTTGGTGACTGGCTGGGCCTCTTCAGCCAAGTCATTGTATATTCTTCCTTCCTTTCTCATTCCCCATCTGTACAGTGAAGATAATAAAGGTTTAGGATTAAGTAACGTGGGTGAAGCAGCTTGACGATAACTGCAGAGACTCAGCTATTCTAGGACGAACTGCGAAGATCTCATAACACATTGGGCTTCGTGACAAGACTTGCTAAGCGCATTATGTTCTAAACATGCTGAGGCCCATATATATGAAATGAAAGTGTTAACTGTTCAGATTGTTTACCAGGCGCCTCAAATCCAGCACAGAGTCAAATTATATAACTTGGTCTCTCCTAAAACCTGAAATAGTGTGCTCTTTGGCTAAAATTGGCTGTGACAGAGGTATTATAAAAGTAAATATTTGAGTGCTTTCTATGTAGTATGAACCTAAAGCTACAAAAGGTGAAAAGGTACTACCCCAGGCTTTTGTGATTTTTATTTCATTTGGAGCGGTAAGCTGGGCATGATGGCACATCCCTGCCATAGCTTGAGCTCATACTGATATTGTCCACACCCACCCCACCCCTAAATATTGGAGCAGTTCCAGACCTTTTAAAGTGATATTTTTGTCCTTTATAATAGCTGTGAACATGCCTTACTGCTTTTGCCATTTTCTCAGGAGAGGTTTTGATTCTACATGGGTCTGTTTTATGTCTTTGGTAAATGGTATATGATTAGCTGGTAATGAAAGTACAAGTTATCTTTAATTCATGAGTTTATGGGATGAATTAGGATATGCACCACTCATTAATTATGGAAAAAGGTATAATGTACAAGCAGACTTACTGAATTGTGCTGCAATAGTTTTTTCCATAAAAAAACATTTATTAATACTAATCTGTTACTTTGTCAGGCCTGAAGATAAAAAGATGAGCATTGCCTTAAGGAATTTGTACTTAGGAAATTTACTGGGTAGTAAAGGAGAAAGAAAAAAATGCAAATATGGGAAAACTTTAGAAAAGGGTTTTAGTATATCTTGATGGAGGAGGACTTCACAAACAAGTGTTCCATTCTGTAACGTATGATTTAGGAATTACACGTGGTTTGGTAGAGCTGGACCTGGTAGAAGTTACTTCAGTGATAAGGTTCAAGAACTGTGCCATGAACTTTGACCAGCAGATGATAAGGAACCTTTAAAAAGATTTATTTAGGGGAATTATATTTGTTTTTACTTTAAGAGTATCTGCCAAAACCAGTAATTCACATGGATCAGAAGTGTTCTGAACATACATAATCCAGATAATATCTGAAAGCAGCTGCCTTTACACAGTAGACTTGAAACATATTTTATTGAAGTCCCTAGAAGCTTTAGGAAATCCTGAATAATTATTTATACCACAAATCTTGAGTTATCTTCTATTAAAACTGGGGTGGTAAGGATTCAAAGGTAAATAAGATGTGCCTCCATTAGTCGAAACAACACCATTATAATACAGTACAGAATCTCTGCTTTGCGAGCACAGAGAAATGTCAGGCTCAAGCTGTGTAGGATGCTGAGATGAGAAAAGACATAAATTGTCTTTTAAGTTAACAAAAGTGAGTGTTTTATTTATTTATTTAAACAGCATTGGGGTTTGAGCCCAGGGCCTCATGCTTGCTGCATGGGCTCTCTCCCACTTGAGCCACTCTGCCAGCCACACAAATAAGTTCTTAATAGAAATTAAACTGCAGCCAGTTAATCAGAACAATTTCTATTAAGAACAAATAAGTTCTTAATAGAAATTAAACTGCAGCCAGTTAATCAGAACAATCAGCTAAAATTCTGTAGTTCCTGTTAACTCTTGCTTCATGTTCCTTCCTTCCCTCACATTCTTTCCAACCACGTTTGGTTTGACCACCAAACTGCTGCCTCCTTAGTTGTCTCGTTTGTGAATGAGGGATGGTAATAACACTACCGACTATGAGTTAGGATAGATAAATACGTTAGTATCCTAGAAGTGCGTGGAAAAATAGCTTATACTTATTGAACACTTAATATATCCATTTGATATAAAAGTGCTGTAATTGAATAAGAACTGATTTAAGGACAGGATGATGAGTGATGACTTCTGAATCTGGTCTGATGTCTTTTGATCACCAGGCCATAGAGTATATCCCTATCTGAATGTCTCCCAAGGGGATCTAAACCCAGTCAGATCCGCACTGAACACATTATCTCCACATATTTACCCAAGCTCAATTTTATGCTCTTACTTCTCTGTTCTTTTTATCTAAATGACACTATTATCCATCTAGTACCAAAGATAGGTTTTTACATGAGAAGATAAGTGCCTCCCTTTTGTAACTAGTCATGTCAGTCCAACTTGTGAAGTATTTTTTATCTGTTCTTCGCTATCCTCAATGTCAGAGAGTAAGTCAGCAGCCCCTATCTATTAATTTCTCATTTGCTATCTTTCTTGAAGAATTTTTTCATTTATAAAAGTACTTTATAAAAATAATGTACTCATTTTGTAAAAAAAAACCAAACAAAATAGAGATTAAAGGCAAAATAGTATTTTTAAAATATTACCAATATAGTTCCTGGAATACAGTGAGCCCTAAATACCAAAGCCACTAAATACAGAATTTATTTTGGAATTTGAAGGAGATTGGCAGAAAATGTTCTGCCAATATTCTAAAAGAATGAATGGACTGGAAGTGTGGCTCAAGCAGGGGAGCACCTGCTTTGCAAATGTGAAGTTGAGTTCAAACCCCTGTTCCTCCACAAAAAAAAAAAAAAAAAAACCATAATTACAGGGCTACAGCAGGGAGAGGAGGCATGGCACAAGTGTAGAGCATCTGCCTAGGAAGCATGAGGCCTTGAGTTCAAACCCAAGTACTGCCAAAAAAAACTACAGGAGTAAATCTGATTTATGTATTAAATGTAGCCTTCAGTAGCTGGAAGACACTTAATCCATTGTGTGTATCTGCTACTGCATGTGCATTGCACCATGGATTTGCCACTCTTTTGCTAGTTAATTATCTGATTGTGCATTCCTACAGAAAAGATGGCACCTGCTAGAGTCTCGCAAACTATTTGCACAGGCTGGCTTCAAACCATGATTCTCCTGATGTCTGCCTGCTTCCTCTGTAGCTAGGACTACAGGTGTGAGTCACCTCCCTGCTCAACATTATTTTTTTTCTACTTTATATTCAGGTTTTTTGTAGATCCTCTACATAGAATCTAGAATAAAAATGAGAGACAGTATCTTAGAATCATTAGTAAGTTTAACTCATCATCAGCCATGTTATTTTTGTAATGAGGAGATGGGCTCAGAATTTGTATCATTCACTCAGACTACTTACATATTAAGAAGAGGGCAGGGTCTGTAAGGTTCTAGAATTTTTTATTCTCACTTTCCAGGTTAAATAGCTGGGTTTTTATTCCTCTCTTCCAGGTTTGTAATGGTAAGTAAAGTACCTTATCTCTTTCCCTCAGTTTCTTCCATAAGTAAAATAGGGCCACCTCCACTCCTTCCTAGGGCCATTGTAAGGATTGAGTGACATAGCCAGTGATCCAGTCTGGCATGCAGTAGTCACTCGGAGTTCATCGTCTTCTCTTCAGCTAGCTTCACATAATAACTTGGTATAGGAGTTCTTAGCTTTCAGCGCACTAGACTCTTGGTATCCACAGGAGTTGGTTCCAAGGAGACCACTGTGAGGAAAAATC